TGTTCAAATCCAACTCATGCCATCTACAGATCTGGGTTCTTAGGGCAGGATTTACACGTAAAGTTTCCAACTTTACGTGTAGAAATGCATATAATGGGGATTAAAGGCGAAATAAGGGCTAATAAGGTAGATCTAGGACATTCAAGCAATTTACTCCCATAAAGGTTATAGATCTGAGCTTCTAGAGCTCAAACATGACTAGATCTAGCGGATAATCAACCCATTACGAATTCTACTTCATGCACAAGCTTGGAAAAGGTTCAAGAAGAGCTCAAAAGGTGCTCTAATGGGGTTTTAAGCATACAAACAGAATGGGGCAGAGATATACCTCAGAGAACTATGAAATATCACCAAGATATCTGGTCTCCTTCTCCTCTTCTTGATCCACTCTGTTTCTTCTCCCAAAAACTTCAAGGAATCACTCTAATCACTTCAATCTCAGAAGAAACGAGTTAGGGTTGATGTAGGGCGCTCTGAGGGTGAAAGGGGGCGAGCTTGGACCGCACAAGCTAGCTTAAATAGGGGGAAAACCCTTGGAATTAGGGTTTCATCAGACAGCGGGGACTCGCCGAGTCTGGAATATGGACTCGCCGAGTCGCCAACTTAAACATGCTCCGGATCCCGTCTCTACTCGCTAAGTCCAAGGCTAAAAAAATGAAAAACACTAAGATAAATTTTACGTACCAGGAACTAGGTGCTACAAAAACATAGTAGTCAATGGCTAGTAGACAATAGTCAAATCCTATAAGACAGTAGTCAAAGTACAATAATGTTTTGGTACGATGTGACAACACATAATATAGTAGTCATAAGCTATTTTACAGTAGTCAGCACTATAAAAAAGTGGTTAAATTGTCAATTATATATAGAGACTTATATGTATTCTATAAACCTCAATCACATAAACTAATGTCCACCTCTCAAGAAACATGGTGGTTGATGCCACAAGAGAAGCGATCACAACTATTAATAAAAGAAGAAGAGATCAAGAACGAGATTAAAGGAATTGAAGAAGATAGGAAACGATTGGATAAGTTACAAACCGATATATGGTCTAAAATGAGGTCGGTCCAAGACAAAGAACGCGACATTAAAACTGCACGGGTTTGGGTAGAAGATGCAACAGACTACGCCAACAAAAAAGAGGTTAAGATGAAAAAAATTCTCAAAAACTTACAAAAAAAAATACGACTGGGTGATTCAAGAAAAAGAAAATTTTCCAAATGATTTCACAATGTTTGAATTTGAACTCATCTACCAGACACAAACCATTCACCCTCTTCCCCCACCATCTGTATGGGAAACACCAGACCCTTTGTTGGCTGTTTTGTTGCCAATGTAACTTTTATTCCTGTTAAATAATGATGTTTGTAATATATTCGTCATTGTCTATGTAATATATTTGCTATTGTTTTTGTAATATATTAGTTTTGTAATATATTTGACATTGTGTTTGTAATATATTAGAAATATATTATGTTTGTAATATATTTTCCATTGTCTTTGTAATATCTTTTCCATTTGTCTGTGGTGTTAAAAACGACAAAAAAACATAAGTTGTCGTTTTCATGTTACCATAAAAGTATGTTTTTAATGGTTATTTTTATGTTTTATATGTTCGTTACCTTCTTTGTACATAGTTGTTCGTCGAAAAATATCCGGATTTCAAATCCGATATCATTACCTCATTGGTTTTACCCTCCAAAGTATGCTTCGTGGTGTTAAAAACGATAAAAAAAAAAAAAAAAAAAAAAAAAAAAACATAAGTTATCTTTTTCAGGTTACCATAAATGTAGATTTTTAATGGTTATTTTTATGTTTTATATGTTGGTTACCTTCTTTATACATAGTTTTTCGTCGGAAAATATCCGGATTTCAAATCCGATATCATTACCTCATTGGTTTTACCCTCCAAAGTATTCTTCGTGGTGTTAAAAACGATAAAAAAAACATAAGTTGTCGTTTTCAGGTTACCATAAAAGTATGTTTTTAATGGTTATTTTTATGTTTTATATGTTGGTTACCTTTTTTGTACATAGTTGTTCGTCGAAAAATATTCGGATTTCAAATCCGATATCATTACCTCATTGGTTTTACCCTTCAAAGTATGCTTCGTGGTGTTAAAAACGACAAAAAAAAAAAAAAAAAAAAAAAAAAAAAACATAAGTTGTCGTTTTCAGGTTACCATAAAGGTATGTTTTTAATGGTTATTTTTATGTTTTATATGTTGGTTACCTTCTTTGTACATAGTTGTTCGTCGGAAAATATCCGGATTTCAAATCCGATATCATTACCTCATTGGTTTTACCCTCCAAAGTATGATTTGTGGTGTTCAAAACCACATAAAATAACACACATTACCGTTTTCAGGTTAACATAAAAGTACAATTAATGCTTATTTTTATGTTTTATATGTCGGTTACCTTCTTTGTACATAGTTGTTCGTCGGAAAATATCTGGATTTCAAATCCGATATCATTACCTCATTGGTTTTACCCTCTAAATAAACATAACATAATACTGAAAGTAAATTAGAACTAACGTGCAAATGGTGGTAAAATTACAAATACACATGACATTAATAATAAAGATAAGTTAACATATTACTAAAGTGCAAATGGTGGTAAGACGATCATATTTTCAACTGGAATTTCCCAATGTAAAAGGATTGGAATAGGATTAACCGCCTCAGCTTGGAATGCATTTTGATACACCGCAGAAGTCAACTTATAATTTACCAACTCCTGTATTTTGTCAAATGTAAGCCTTCTTAGTGATGCTATACCATGTTCACAGGGTATGCCGCATTTTTGCCATTTTCCGCAAGTACAAATACCACGTTCAAGTTGTACGGTTTGTATGGTTAAATTTAAACTCACTTCAAATTTGTGACTACCAATATGTGTAACCTCATAACCATTAGACTGGTTCATTCTTCTTTCAAGTACGTGTTGTGCATAAGGGGTAAGATGATCATGCATTCCATCTGCAAAATTATTTTACTTTCAATAATAAATGGGGTATATTAAGGTAAAAAATAAACAACAAATATTTCTTACCTCCCAATGCAACGCGATAGTCGTACACTGTTCGTATCGATTGATGGACCACTTCAATGATTGACGTTATTGGTAACTCGTGCATGTTTGTTGTTAGCCAATTCAATCCAGTCGGAATGCTGATATATTTCACATTGAAACGGACTTTAGGAAAAAAAGGCTCGAGCCCATTTTGCAATTGCAATATTTTCAAGCCATTGAAGATCATTCCCATTAACCTCATTTGTTAATTTGTTCAAACAAACATAAAATTTAGACACACTATAAGTTTTGCATGTCTTCCAGAACAACTATTCCACAACGGTACTTCCTATGGAAGCCCGAACTTTATCAGCTATATTTTTACAACAATACCCATGATATGAATATGGGTATACTCGCTGAATGGCGTAGTCTATGGAACAAGACATATGACTTATGAAACCAAGTTCAATAGTGTCACCTAAATATTCTTTTAACCTTCTCATGAACCAAATCCAAGCCTCGTCACAGTCTACACTTCCCAAAGCGAATGCTATGATCAAGGGTTCATGATTACCATCCAAAGCAACAGCAACATACATTGTCGTTATGTTGGTCCCAATAAGGGGTACAATGCCAACAAATATTGTTGGTATCATGGATGTGAGAAAGATAGTACTCTGCAAGAAACGATACCAACATTAGGCAAATATGAACTTGAAATAAAGAATAACTTAGTATAGAGATGGACATACCACACATCACAATGCGACAAAACAAAATTGAAACCGGTCTCTCATATCTTTCTTAATGATTGTGAAAGAGTTACGATTAGTTCTTTGAAGATTATGAAAGAATTTGGTAGGTTTGAAAAACTTTTTTTGTATACCTCATTGAATCCACTCATTTTTCCAATTCATATGTCTCAATGAATTAGGTGTCCACTATAAATAGATTTCATTTCAAGTTGAATGCAAGGGTAATTATTCATTTTTAGAGTAGTCATTTTGAAAAGACAATACATTATGCAGGCTACAAAGTAGTCAAAGTAGGTACAACAGTAGTCGAATACTGTCAAATAGTATTCAATTTGTCATACAACTTACACAAAAATACAGATCGAGATGACAAGTCTACAATTCGAAATGACAATATATTGTGCATGCTAGAAAATAGTAGTCAAAATCTATAAAACTCTAGTCAAATAATGTTAATGTGGTTTTTGTTAAAAAAAAAGTATGTGTTGCATTTATATAAATAAAACTTTAAAAAATAATGTGAATTCTTTTGTAAGGCTGGGTTTTCTAAAATGGAGTCAAACACCGAAGTGAGATGATTTTAATTCTTAATTTTTGAATGTTGTAGTGTATCACTTTTAAGATGTGTGTAGTAAAGTTCTAATGTATCACGTTCAAAATTCATTACGAATGAGAGAATTTCGCTTAACATAGAAATGTTCATCACGAAGTGCAATTTCGCTTGAAAACAAAACAATTACAATTTTCAAATATTATATGCTTACATAGGGACTTAAAACCACAATCTTAGGTTACTCCACATCTACTTAAAAATATAAGTAGTAGCAAATAATAGTCAAGTAGGATTACATAGGGATTAAAGAAAAAACAAAATGAAAAAGATTCACAAAAACATACAAAAAAATTACGACCGGGTGATTCAAGAAAAAAAATAAAATTTCCAAGTGATTTTCCAGATGTTTGAATTTAATAATTCTTGATTAATCAAGTAGTAAGTTTATGCATTTTTTATGAGTTTATCTATGTTAACTGTTTTATATTTGTTTGTTTGTTTATTATTAATCTATATAATATGTACTATTCTCTTTATATTTTGTTTAAGTTTAATAATTAGGGGAAATTTTGTTAACTAATCGTCATCAAACAGTACACATTGAATGTCACTAAAAACATACAACTCGGACTAACTCAAAAATCGACTGTTTAGAAGATCCATAATATATCATGGCCATCCTATAACGAAGCTGAGTAGCATCCTATAACGAAGCTGAGTAGCAGCAACAACAGGTGTCATCGATATACCAATCGGTCGACCTGAAACAAGTTGCTCCATGAACATCAGCATAAACACACCGCACTCTCCATACATCCCCTCTTGTTGGGGTACGTCCGTAACATCTGTAATAATGATGGATGCTTTCTGAACAGGCAAACCCATGTGGTTCCAATACTCAATTTCCACCAGAATGCGGTCCAAAAGCTCTTCAAACCGAACAAAATCAATAATCTTCACGGCACCAAATAATCGGAAGCTGTCGTACAAATTTAATGCCAGCGTGTCCATCCATAACTCACCAAGTACCCAATGATGTGGGTTGATGCATATTGGAAAGTAAACATGTTTTAACACACAACCGTTGCAATTAATTACAATTAAATTCGCTGATATATTATTTTCTTTACTTACACGGTCAACTTCCAGCCAAGATTTACATCCATCCAATAGGTCAAACAAATTTCCCGTTGCACTTCCTGCCCACTGGAACATCTCAAACCCACCAAAAAATGACGATGGCATGATTGTCCATCGAGCATCGTTCGGTCTCCGCTCATTCAAAAGCCTTCCTCATAGGTCAACATGTTGCATTTAAATTTAATTGAAACATAAGTATCCTGTAAACTTTTTATATTATAAATATAAAGTAATGTCTTCATACCGCTTCTTCTAAAAATCCCATTTCAGTTGCATAAAAAAGCCGATCCCAAAACCTTGCTTCCATTTTTTCATTGTATAATCGATGTTTCAAAAAAATAGCCGGTTTGTTTGCCATGTATAGAGCAGGAGCATTACAACCCAGATTCACATATGGGTCCAATAAAAGTGTCGAGGGATCGCTGACAAATACGGGGGGCGGTTGTGTGTTGTGTGTTACCCCACCTGTATGATATCGGGGGCCATTTTGAACCTACATTATATACGTAGTCAATAACTATCCATATAGTAATAAAATTGCAGTAAATATGATTTTTACCATACTTACCGAAACGTAAGGAAAACTAAGATATTGAGAAGGTTTCAATTGCCTAATCGGACGACCTTCTTTAACAACAGGCATGGGCATATGATTTTCCGCATCCACAATGTCCCTAGCAACAACCTCCTTCTTTTATTTTTCTTCTTCTACAAAAAACATATTCATTTTTTAATGTACTATGAAAAAATAAAAAGTTTAATATACAAAACAAAAGAAAAAAAATAACCACATCCGCGATTTGTTTTCTAGAATCATCCCCTGGTGAATTACCAACATGATCATCTTTGTTAACTAGATTTGATTTTTGTGGACTATATACCACATCCTTATTCCCCTACATTTAAAGAAAAAATACTTAATTAAAAGCTTCGTTAAAAATTTAAATAATACATCATATATATATATTATTAATTGATAGTAATACCTCAAAAGCGTCATTAAAAAACTGTTCAAAATCATCACCGTCTCGACTACCACCTTTATTTTTCATTCCTAAAATTTCTTCCTCCAAAGATTCAAGTCTTGAAATTATTTCTCGCGCGGTCTTTTTGGTAAGTTCCACCGTATGAGTTCTCTTGGAAGACTTGGAAGATTGGTTGTTTCCACAGTTTGTTTTTGACAAAGATGCCCCCTACATAAATTTTTTCATATATCAATAACACTTGAAAATTTTTATTATACTAAATTATGCTTTTACAAAGTTACTTACATCATTTCTAAAGTTGTAGCGTACAGAAGATGAGGCTTCAGACAATTCACAATTCAGACTAGAAATATATGACAGATAATGTGGAGTAGAGGCATCGGCATCTGATGCAATCATCTTTCTTTTCGGTTGATGCGCCTCGTCCCGATCAACATCGAAAAGATCGCAGACCCATGCCCAAGTTAACCTCCTAATATGAAACCAGTGCAATATACACGGATATAAATAATTTTGTCGTATCGCACCATTTCCCCGGATTGCTAGAAACATCTCCCATATCCATATCTTGTAATAAATATAAGTTAATTTATAAGAGTTAGCAATAACAAAAATTTTAAAAATAAAATAAAAACCGATAAATTATTAAATATACTTTTTTAATTAGTAAAATATACCTTCAACGGAATAACAAAACCCGATAGTGTGTACACAATCACTTTTGTTGGATGGTTGGACATATAATCCTCAAATTTCTTAAACATACCCGACAATTTAGGGTATGTTTTACTCCATAGATAACTCCCCCACGAGAACCTATATTATAAGAAATA